TATCTCAAATGATCAATAATTTATATATATATATTATATTAAAAAACAAGGAGGCACTAGTAATTTGACTAAGAATTTAAGGTTAATTTCTGTTTATACTGGGTATTTCATTGTGGCGTGACTATTGTCCACTAGGAGAACCAAAATAATCAACGTACGCACGCACACAATTAAACAGAAGAATGTATATACGTATATAACCGAAACTTTCATTTGTATATGAGGTTTTACAAGTATACTCTAAGGAGATGTCACTTTGTCTACAAAGAACATGTGGTAGTTTTAATATTCTATGATATTGATCGGTTCTGTTTTTCATACCTCAAACCTTCATTTGTATTTCTGCATATAAACATTTATGTGTCGGCTCTCTCTTGACGTATGAAAGTGTTTAGGTACAGTATAACTCCTGAATTTTTGTTGTTTCCCTTCAACAGTTACATGACACGAATATCTGAAAGGCTGAAATTCCCCGTAATTGGATGTCCTTAGAAAGCTTTGTTGTACGAATCTTTTTATTCAAGAGTTAATTTAAGAAATATATATATATATATATACCTGTTTATTATATACACTCTTCGGAAATGTTCATGGACCACACAGTTTGTGGACACACACACTTCATTCGGTAGTTAACATGGTTCTCTGTCATCCACTCGAACGAGAGATAATTACTGAACATTAGATAGAGGTAGTAGAGAATTAGTGTGAAGTGTAGTTCCAAGCCCAGGTAGTAAATGTCGGATTGATTATTGTAGATTAACTGTAAGAGCTTCACAACGCTTCATGTAGGGACTTTCCTCTTATTTCTTTCTAGTGTTTTGGGTATTGGTTTGTCTGGGTCAATATCTAAATTGCTTTGGGTTTAGTAGGAGATTTAATCTTACACAAGACTTAGGACGTACAACGCCAAAAATTGCATTTCGATACCAGCGCTGAGCAAAGCATAGATAATCCATTGGGTAGCTTTGTGCTTAAAAACAAACAATCAAGCAAAAAAAAACTTACATAACATTTTATATTTCAAACCCTAAATTATTTCGCCTCTACATTAAGTTATGTTGTATAATAGTGTAATGCTGAAGTCGGTTCAGTATTATTTATCTTACTTATTTTTTACACCGAACAACATACCTCTTGGAACTAACAAAGCTAAACTTGTTCTTTCTTGACATTGTGTTAAAAAGAGCTTTAGCATTTCTATTCCGGAAGCTGGTTTCCCTACCAGTGGTTGTGAAACATTGTGGTAAAACTTGATTGTTTCGGAATTTTGCACGAAGACTATCTAAGCATAATCATCTCTAACTCTGAACTGATAAAGTATAGGGAAGGCAACTAGTTAACAGCACCTGCCGCCAACTTTTGGGGTACTCTTATCTCATAGAATAATGTGATGGAATTTAACCGTCGCACTTCTAGTGCACCTAGTTTTGTGGTAACGATAGCAAACCTTGAAGCTACAGGTTCACAATCCAAGCACGTCGAGGATAAGGCCACGCCCGACCGTATTAGAACAAAGTGATGTTCGAGAAACGTGCGGTCATGACGTTTTTATGGTTGTATTTATGAGGATACAGTAATATTTTAATAACTAGGCTCATAATGCTATTATATAATCTTACTAATAATATGATCCAAAATTACATTACAAAATGTTATGGTTCTGTCATGTTTTTTCAATGTCACCTGGTGGTTAAAGCTTTTCAGTTTTTTGTAATTCAAGTTTAGACCGCTCAAACGCAATTAAATTTCTTATTTTACTTTTAATCCTGAGAACTAAAAGTGCGACAGTGTTATTCCGACAGTTTAGTACTATGTGTACCAGTGCTGGTATTACTGCATTATTGGAGACATGGATAACGGTGCCATTTTTATAGGTTTCATTACCGGACACCCTTCCCCCTGTAATTCCAAAATAGGTCAATAGCAGAATATAAAAGCAAATAACAAAACTGCTAATGAAATTAATGGCCACTCCAACTTGTCTTTGGCCTTTTTGTTCATGACGTCTTCCAAAAACGATGAAAGTGAGTTAAGCATTTCTTGTCACTAGCCACAAGTATCGATAACGTTTCTAAACAAACAGGCGTTGTTTTAGTATGTCAGAAGGGCTGTGCGTGACCTTGTGGCTAGCGAGTCTTGATTGTGAATCTGGGTATCAATGGTTTGCGTCCAGTAAGTGCTCTACAAAAGTGACAGTGAAATCCCACAATTAAACGATCAAACAAGACAAGTCCAAGGATTTGTTGGTGGGTACTGTTAATTGACTAGCTGCCTTCATTCTAGTTTATAACTTCCAAACTATAGCTTAAATTGGAGTGTTTTTTATTTTATTTTATTAATTGAATGTAGTTGTTTAAATTGTGAACTGTAGCTTAACGAGGCATAACTACAACTGGTTGAATGCCAGTATTGGTACTTTTAACCTAAATGGTATAAACATATCACATTCGCGAAATTATGTACTTGATATTGGTACTTTTAACCTAAATGGCATAAGCATATCACATTAGGGAGATTTTGTATTTGTTATTGGTACTTTTAAGGTAAATGGCACCTTATGAAACACATAGGCTGGATAGCCATGTTAGAGACCTCAATCTTTCAGCAACAGCCACGCAAAATTTCGAACTGTTGACTAGAAAGAGGGCAACCAATGAACAGCACCATCTATACTTGAGTCAACTCTTAACGGAATAACGGGATAGACTGTCACAACTGTAAGCCCTTCACAGTTGAAATTGTGGAGTACATTCAGTGATATATCACAGCTCGAACCTGGAATCTTCTAGATTGTATCGTAGTAATAACATTGGCACCAGGTTTGGCTATTTCTGGTGAGAGGATTAAAGTGTTAATTCTAACTTAGATATAAAACATTCGATTTTGCCTAACAATGCACTGAAAGAAGTGATCGACATTACTATATAAAATTGCCTTATCATAACTCAATTACAAATTCTGATTTTTTTTCTAATTGATTCTTTTTACACGAATTCCAATGACTGGTAAAAAAAATTCTGTCTTATTTTTACCGTTGGCCTTGCCAGGAATTGTATTATTATTATTATAAGTCATCGATTATGTTCGTTTGTCTTAATAAATTAATAAAGAAAAACACTGTTGGCGCCAAAACATTTAGTTGCCCCCCCAGTGGCACAATGATATGTCTGCGGGTTTGCAACGCTAGAAACCGGGTTTCGATACCCGTAGTGGGCAGAGCACAGATAGCTCATTGTGTAGCTTTGTGCATAAATTAAAAGAAAACAAACATTTAGTTAAATATTTTCCACGAACAGATACTTTTAGCTGAAATACTTTTTGGTTCTTTTCCCTTCAATCATCCATCACCTTTTGTCCAAATTTCACGCCTGCGGTTGCACTAAGCTGCTCTAAGTTTAATGTATTTTGAAAAGTATATGGTAATAATTCAGGCAGCAACACAGCCAACCAACTTCCGAAACGTTGCGCTTTTTATCAAGATCAGAAATGAGATCCAACTTCCCTTGGGGGAAATAAGATTCAGAAGCCCTGAACTTTGTAAGGTTATATATGGTCGGAGATCGGCTTTTCTATAAACTTCTCACCAGATGGCACTCCAGAGAGAATCTTCGTTTAGATCGATCTACTATTTGAGACTACATTCAAGAGTGGTGCAAAAACTACAGCTTAGGCAGTTTAAAATACCAGAGGCAGGGATTTAGTCTGTTCTTATACCAAGTTGAAACAATTCTCCTGATACTTAATGTGTTTAGTCTGCCACGCAGGAATAAAACGCATTTAAGTAGCGCCATATTTATTCAACTCGTGCCCCTCCGAAACTTTGATCCTGTGCTATTTGGTTTTTTTTTAAAGCAAAACTTGATAATATTTCTTTCAAAACGTAAGACATATTAGCTATGATTGAATAATTATAGATCTAGAGATATATTAAGCAAAATATCAAATTTGAACTTAGGTGTCCGTTCTGAACAAAACCTACCAATACATTTAAGATTAAGTGTCATATTAAAAGTCAAGATAACCAAAGTATCAAGGCACGTGTTTGTAGTCATAAAAAGCAAACTTTGAAGAACTTGAACTTTTTCCAGTTGGAGATACTGTTTTAACAAAGGATATTGACTCAAGTTTAAACAAATCAAAGATTCGGTTAGGGATACAGAAGAACTATTGATACCTATGGCTGGAGGGAATTGGGCTTAAGATCATATTCGTTCAAACCGTACGAATGTTACAACAGCAAAATTGCTTTAAAGCTCCAATAAGTTGTCCTAGAGAAAAGACTAAGGAAACTTTTTGAACCAGTTAAGTTGGACTCTTGATTGACCAGAAAATGATGAATTATTTTAACAATTTTGAAAGTAAATATATTTTTAATTAACGAACAGTCGTAAACACAAGCGTTGCCAAGGTATTGTTGTGAAACACACATCTTTCGAGACTTTGTGTAACAATAGATATTCTTAACTCATTTCTTAATAATCTGGAATTTTAGAGATCAAGACACACGGTGATGCGACCAAAACAACCTGCAAGTGTGTTATTAACAGGAGTTATAGTTTAACAATTTTCCACTTTAAGTTGCTCAGACTGTGGTAATCCAAACTATCACATATTTTCAACGGATTTTGTTTTACCCACCATCATGCCCCAAGTTGAACAGTTTAGAATGTGGGTTTCAGTTTGGAAACAGAGAATGTGGGTAGCGATTTTTTCAATTAAAAAAAAGGTATCACCAATTTCGTTGTTTCAAAAACTAGGACATGCCACGTTTTGCACTGTTAATTAGCACGATAAAATAAAAATAAGTACTTAAAATAATTGTCAACTAAAACTATTTGAGTATTTAAACATTAAATTAGTTTATAATAATCTAGCTATAAAAACGTATTCAGAAGGACTCAAAAATTCATCAACATATCTAAAAATCTTGAATATTATTCAATCATCTATTTATTTTTAAAGACAAATAAATTATTTTCTATTCTCACACAGGTACGGTGACATGGTTCCAGCCACTATCGCGGGCAAGATTGTAGGTGGCGTCTGCTCCTTGAGTGGAGTACTTGTGATTGCACTCCCGGTTCCTGTTATTGTTTCGAACTTTTCTCGAATCTACCACCAAAATCAAAGGGCAGATAAGCGGAAAGCTCAAAAGGTATTTGTCAAAATTTACGTTCAAATATAATTTTAATTCATACAGTCACTTTTATCTTATTTTTCATTCTAAAAAGTCTGGTTGAGTTTGGCTGTCTTTCCAGTTAGCCCTAATACCATTTTTGCATTCAAGATCTACTCATGTATAGACTTTCTAAATTGCAATCTCAAATGCTCATTAGCAAAAGCATCACAATATCCATCTGAAGAGTGAAACTTAGAATTGTACGGGTGCTGCTTATTGATGGCTAATATATTGGACACACAATTGTTATTGTTATGCACTATGGTCATATACACTACAGACAAGATTCGAGAATTCACGAATCACGTGAACAAACAATCCAGCAATACAACTCATGATAGAAATGAAACGAAATAGCAAGCTTCTATTCCTAAACGTATTTTTCATCACGGCATATATACCACAGGAGTCTGTAAACCTACGGTAACTGGTGAATAACCAGTATAAAAATCAAACCACGACAACAGAGTAAAGATAGGCGTCATAGACTGCTTAGTATACAGAATGAACGAGACTTATAATATAGAAGATGCTAAGAAGAATGAAAAAATATCACCACGATCTTCCTTGACAATGGAGCGTATAAGACTTCAATCTTATAGCTGAGCTATTGGAGGGCTCTTTGATACTAAACTATTATAACACAAAACGTTTTTCATCAAACATTATTGGTTTATGTCTAAAGTTTAAAAAATAATAGTATAAATAGTTATTAATTGAAATTCTCAAATAAGTCTTTTGTTATTTTCACATACAACATAACTAATAGCTGTTCCGGTTCAAGTATGCAAAAATAGTTTGCTATATCTACTGGTAGAAACATGTTCACCAATATTATTTTTTCATTCTGTTACAGGTAAATTACTATGGTAACAAAGTCAAAATGAATTATTTCTGTTTATCTTAGGGGGTATCTTTAAATCTGAGATAAGTGCTTGGTAACGAACTAATTAGAAAATAACGAATTTTTATTTCAATTAATTCCTAAAAAAAAGACAGACATATTTGATATTGATTAAATATATGTGTAACGTATATATGAGCATTATAAAATTAGCATCTTCTACCAACAAATATATAAACTGAAATTAGAAGTGAGATTTCCACTTTTTTGGCCAACTTCTTTAAAAGAACTTAGTCAGTGAATACAGAAAGTAAATGACGAAGTGGATGATTAATTATAGATTGAAAAGAAAGATAAACAATATAAAGAACATATTATTTTTCCTCATGGCTGTGTATGCTCATTGTTCTTCAGATTCAGAACTTGAACTTTAAAATATTTGTGCTTATTTTGGGTTGTTATTATTTTAGTTCATAACACTGTGTCGTTAAAAACTACTTTTATATCATTGTTTTGTGTTAATTCTATGTTATCGGTGTTGATGACATAGTTGTTATAAAATTTCAACTTATTCTACTTGGGGCGTATTATTCTTTTATTTATTTAAGTTTTATTCATTTGGTATGACGTGAGCTTAAGGCCGTACAGTAACACGGTTAAGTAAATTTGTTTTGAAAGATTAATGAGCTAACTTTTGATTGAAAAATCGACTGTAACAACAGTAACATTATCGGTAACAATTTTTTGGTGTCTTTGTTTGATAAACTTTGCATATTCTACATATTTCTTAATGCATAGCTATGATTGGAGAGTCTTAACATCAGAAAGTTCGATAAATAAAATATTCCTTTCTTCGTATGAGCTTATCCTCTTCTTTAGTTTTGTGGTGAAAAAAAATTCACATTGCGAATGATAAACTTGTTATTTGAAGTTTATCCATAAAGATAATTATGATCCTTTAAAACGTTATACAGAAAAGAAAACTATAAATGGAGATAAAATCGAATAGTTGGAGAAACTGAGCGTGGTTTATTAGTAAACACAACCGTAACCAAAGTTAGTGGTGATGGAGGCAAATAATCCGTATGGACCAAAGCAATTTTGGAGTTGAATGTCAATATAAACTATGTGGAAGTTCCCAAAACACAATTCTATTTTGCTACCTGTAAAAATGCATTAACTGTGTTTACAGATACTTAGACATACATTATTTCACGCTCTTACGGGTGAGGACTTTCGGGCCCTGTTTTGGACATGAATTACAATAGATATTCCAAGCCACAAACTTGGAAATGAAAGTGTATTTTTGATAAATTAAATAAATTATAATACATCACAGATTATATATAATGGCTTTATTCACTTTTAGAAAGCGAGAATGGCCAGAATCCGAATCGCCAAGGCAACGAGTGGTGCAGTATTCGTTAGCAAGAAGAAGGAGGCTGAGGCGAGACTTGCTGCACGAGAATCTGGACAGGAGGTTGAGGACGACACAGGCGATATTTTCGAACTTCAGCATCACCATCTGCTTCAGTGTTTGGAAAAAACAACGGTGAGCGTTTTGATCTTCAGATGATCCCCCTCGCAGTACTTCCGTCATCAAGGTTTAGACATCAGCTTAAACGTTAAACAATGAGGCTACGATTGTATAAATTTTTAACTGCAATAACAACCTTAGCTAATCAAATATAAGTTATACCAAAGTTACATTTTTTAATGGAAAATCAAGAAGATATAAGTTAAACGGGGTATTGCAGAACAGTTGGTAATAAAGAGAACATAAAATACAGCTATTTTTATGTCTAATAGTTATCAAAATATTCTAATGATAAAAAATACCCATCAATCTTATACTTTTCAATAGACAAAAAGGAAAAGGTGCCAAAATAAAAAGAATATAAATGCATTATAAACGCCCTTTTTCTTTATTAGTTATTTATTCTGCTTTTCAATAAACCAACTTTGTTCTAGACATTTATTTGTTCACACCAAAAAAAAATAGACTGTAATAAGGACTAAAGTAGCTAATTACTTTACATGTGATTTAACAGTATACATGTATTTCTTTACCAAAGTGTAAAATATACAGTCTATAAACTGAATTAAAGTCTGTCTTTCTCTAATCAAAACAATATACGCCATTCTGCGTTGGAAGTTGGTCCATGCTTGGACCAGGGAGGATCAGATTCAGAGTAGACCGTTTCTTCTATCTCATAAGTTGGTGTTATTCTATTTATATTCAAACTGATCCCAAGGTAATATCCCCATTACTATGTTTTTTTACTCACAGTATATTAAATATTGTCTATTGACCGCAATATTCTAACTTAACATACCATTTTCAAGCCACGTCCATTTCATGGACTAATATTAACAAGTATGTTTGCACTGAGGTTCGCTAATGTATGGTTGCACTTTCAGTCCTGTTCTCACAACACAGTTCCACTTAGCACTCATACATACACACACTCACAATCCTATTTTTACACATAAAATCATTTTGAAATAGAGCTAAGTTTGTATCTAGGAATCACTTAGCCTAGCACTCTTTGGCCTGTAAGTATCATATTAATGATGTTTAGGGGTGGAAAGGTACTTAGGGTTAAGCTTATCATGTACGATGAAGTTTTCTAATTTGCTCATCAGTTGATTTTTATTTATATTTATTCTTATAATATTAAAGCGAGTTATTTAGGAGTCTGTCTGACAGGGTCGGCATGTGTTTTTTTATGAAGAAATGCTGAGTTTGTTGAGCACGGGACTCGGTAAGCTTTCTTTTATATATATATAGTTTGTATTTGCTGTAGTTTTTTATGTGTTTTTTATACATTCAGGCGTATTCTATAACTGGTTTTTTCTATGATCTGCATATTTTAAAGATGTTTTCAGGTGAAGCTCCTTGGTTTTTGCCAGTCAGGTTCCTAAGGTAACTCGTCCTTTTCCAGATTTTGGTTTTAATGCTGTTTGTGTGTGGTTAGTTTCGAGTCAAATATGATCCCTAAGAATTTTGCTGATGTTGCTACCTGTAAGAGAGTCCCATCTAAAAATAACTGTAGTATTATTTTACTTGTTCATTTTAATTTTGTAAATAAGATGACTTGTGTTTTGTGCTAATTAATTTTGATTCTCCATATATTGCAGTAAAGTTTTATTATGTTTAGTAGTAGCTGTATATTGTATGTTGCTGTTGTTGGGTTTGAGGCACTCTACCACATAGCAAAATCACCTGTGAACTGTGAGGAAGGTGTGGTTCGGATTTTTAAGAGGCATGCCGCTGGCATATATGATAAACAGAGTAAGACTAAGTACTCCTCCTTGAGGGACATCTGCCTCCGGAATGCAGCACTCGGAGTAGGTCCCCTCAACATTTACTCTGATGCTCCTATCTTCCAGGAAGTTAGAAACTCAGCGAATAATTTCTTTAGGGAGTCTCATTCTGGACAGTTTTATCTGAGTCTGTTGTACCATACTTTATCGAATGTTCTTTCCACACTAAGAAAACATGCGACTGTGCAGTGTTTTTGATTAAAACCTTGCATTATTTGTTTCGTTAATCTAATTAGATGGTCTGTTGTTGTCTTTTCGGAAATCGTTTTGTATTTCTGGTTGTATTCTAGGTAAGTTATAAGTCTAGTTATAAGTTATAATTTCTTCTAGTAGTTTTCCTATATTGCTGGTTAAGTTTATGGATCTGTAGATTTCGGGTTTATTTGCTGATTTTCCTTCCTTCTGGAACATAAGAACATCAGCCTGTTTCCAAGCGGTTAGTATGTATTCTGTTTTTAGCGATAAAGCAAGGAAATAAAGCGATGAATTTTTACCTGTAGCTATAATTATACACAGAACAGAAACTGATATAACCTATACCTCTTTCTAGATATAACAATATACAAACAAGTATGTGACGTATGTCTTTGTCATTGTGCAGATTAAGAAATAATGACCACATTTCTTTACATGGGTAGTAACAATATAGAAACTAGAAACTCAAATGACGGATTTCATAACTTGGGTATAACACTTTATTGAATAGGAATTAGTTTCACATACTTATTTACATACTAGGGATTAAACACGTACTTCGCGTACGATCTATTTAATATGATTAATTGACTACTGAAACATTGTTTACGAAAAAAAATGGATATAGACGGGATTGAATTCTCGACCTTCGCATACGAAGCGTGTGCTGTGTCATATGAGCCAAAGACCAAAGATCTTATTCACATATGCATCATTATTAAGTGGAATACTATATATATGAGAAGCATATATGCTTTAAATAAACAAATCCTTCAAATAATGCTGTTGTTGGTGTTACGACAGCGGAAATCACGCGACGCTGGGAGCAGGCGCGCTGGAGTTTCTCGAAGGATCATGAATTTTCCTGGCAACTCTAGTTTGTTTGAGGCGCCCTCTTTTTCAGTATATAAGCTTGGCGAGAAAAACCAGCGCGATTAAAGAGATATAGATAGATATGCAGATAGATTGAAGAGATAGATAATTGAGTCAAGCGAACAATAGGCACAGTAAGTAAAGTGTGTGTGAATCACTGTGATTTATAGCATGTGTTATAAAGGTTGTTAAGTTTAAAGTGACTGTGGAAATTTTGTGTATTACAAAGTTGTATCGAGAAAGAATAAACTAGTTTTACTTAAGAAAGGACTTGTATCGCTGAAGTTCTTCGGAAAGAATTTATACCGGAAATCAAGGAAATTATCAAACGAGCAGATACACAACATTGGGTTATGTATTGGACATGAATCAAACAACAATCTACTAAGCAGAATATGGAGTTGTTGTACTTAGATTTAATGTTAAGAAGTGTAAAAAACTTGAAATGACAATAAACGAAATATACAACATTTATTGTATAAACGCCATATCTTTCTGGATAATTGCAATGTTTGACTAAGATCTTGAGGTATTTTCTTGATCGAATTCTTGTTAAGCGATGATATAAAATAGTGAACTTTTAAAATTATGATATCAAGAAGTGTAAAAATCAACTGCCTTCGTCGCTATTTTACTGATTTTCTTTTCCTTCCATAATGATATCAACTCTTTTTTTACCCCCTCCCTAAATTATTAACAAAGTGTTGGGTATACTACCACCAGTAACGGAAATGGTGTAATATTTTATTCCCCTAGCGGATAAACTCGTGCTTCGTATACGAAGAGTATCTGAACTTAAGGCCTAATTGTCGATTCTTAGGCGCCTGTATTGAGACAGTTGAAAAAGTATAATAGTTATAAAATAGTGAATTTTTCAAATAATGATATCAAGGAGTGTAAAAACCAACTGTCGTCATGTGTTTTTTTGTAAATCTATTTTATGTATATGAGTCTAAATCGCATTTTCTCCCGCGCAATCTGTTACCTGTAGAGCATTGAAAATGAATAAAGTTGCAGCAGTGGCTATTAAGGCTAAGTGCCTGTAGATTATATAGCAGGTAAACTCGTGCTTCGCGTACGAAATGTACTTAAAGTTTAGGCTTAACTGTCAATTTTTAAGCGCCTATTGAAATGTAATGGTATTACGTTATTTATAAACCACGGAAAGATAAATAATTAATTTAATGTGTTTCCTTGCGTGTTTGTTAAAAATATTGTTCTTAAAGTTAATTTTATAATCGTCGTACTTTTGCACTCGTATAGAATAATGCTCGTTAAACGTCGTTCACTTTTGCGCTCGTGTATACGTAAAAGTAACATTGTACAATTAGCCAATAAGAATATTGAGTTTCCAGGTTTGCGAGCATGCATACACGCACGGACTCTTTTAATTTCACAAATAAACAGTAATATACGGACTAGTAATTAGATTAAAGCTTTTCGTTCTGTAAATGAAGTAACGTAACACATTTCCTTATATGGATATAACAATTTATAAACTAGAAACTCAAGCAGTGTATTTATTTATTTATTCTAAGTTTAACAGTGTTCTGACTAGGAACTAATGTAGCGTATTTCTTTACGCAGATGTAACAACATATAGGCTAGTAATTAATGTACCATATTTTTCTCTGCAGATGCAACAACATAAAGATTACACTTAGGCTTAGATCTAACGGTGTATATATATATATATATATATATATATATATATAGAGTAAGTAATAGTCGTTCCCTTCCCTTACGATATATAATAATAATAACAACGTCTTGTTCGTTTACTTACTATTACTTAACTTTAAACTAACTA